CTGGTCTAGGACACATGTACCAGCCGCCTCGGCGGCCGACCTTGCATCGCTCAGGCGGTTGTTGTTCGAGGCTCAGACATTAGCTCTCAGTCAGTTGCGACTCCAGATCACCGAGCCAGAGGCCGCATCTAAGAGAGTGCCGGAGGCAGAGCGTGACAGGCGAATGACCTTGCTGCGAGCAGAGTTGACTGGACTCAGCATCGAGGGCCCGTTGGAGCCGGGTCGCAAGTTGCTAGACGAGTGTGCCCATCAAGAAGCTACTGGGCAGCTGAAATACTTGGCGCCCGATCGGTGCGTGAGCAGGCTTCATGAAGTGACGAACGCGAAAAACACTTCGCGGCAGGTCGAGATTGATCAGAGCAAGTTGATTGTGCGAGAGGCACAGGACGAGCTCTCCATGCCAGCCTCTTCCGCGCTTCAGGTGCAGGAGGCATTGCGTCGCAGGGGGCTAGCTTACACCTTCGCCCAAGCTTTATCTTGGAGTGCATACGATAAATACCTCATGCGACTTTTCAGCCATATGCATCGCGAACCCCCACCAAACCACAACAGGGTATCAGTGACCCAACTGGTGGAGGCCGACAGGCTTGTCTTCGTGAAGTTGATCGAACAGAACATCAAACCCAAGAGGGATGCATCGGGATCTTTTCCGCTCGATGACGCCCTTCATCAAGCCCTCGAGTCGTATGAGGTAAGCTTCGCACTCATGCATCTTCAAAGCAAGCAGGCTCCCCCCAGAGACCCTACTCGGCCGCCGTTCAAGAAGCTCAAGACTCAGCATGACGAGGCCAACATCACCAAACCAGGTGGGAAGTGGAAGGGCAAAGACAAAAAGGGCACAGGCAAGTCGACACCATGGGTAAGCATTCCGAAGTTCATTCGAGATCGCGGCGGACACGCGGCCACGCCCTCGGGTGATCCCATTTGCTTCACCTATTCGATTCATGGCAAGTGTACCATTCCGAATTGCTCGAGAAAGCATGNNTGCTTTGGTGATCATGCGCTGCTTAACCATAAAGACAAAGAGTGACAGGCTGCAGGCCCGGCTAGCTCCGGGCCAACGGGGACCGCAGATGCCCGAAACTTTTGTGAATGCAGCCCTCCAGCTTTCGATCCAAGCGTTTTCATGCGCTTGTGTGCTGAGCTGGATGTGTCGTGCATCGTTGTCGATCACCCTGCAGAGCAGTTGGCTTTGGAGGTGATACAATCCGGAGTTTTCAACATTGCATGCATTGACAAACTTGTATCGCTGCTACCTTCCGAGGCCCCTGCTCGGATGAGTGGCCCATCTGATGGTGTGCATTCGTGGACCACGGGTGCAAATGTGTGGGGAGGGGTCCTTGGGGCCCGCCAAAACCTGACTTCGTTTCCAGTTGCTACAGCACTACTTGCAATCATCCTTCGTTCGGCGGCGCCGA